AAAGAAAGGGCGAAGTTTCCGAAAGCCCCCTGGGAAATAAATCGATTCGATATCTGAATAGCCATTACGCAGACGTGGCTTTGCGGAATAAAGAAAGCATAGCAAGGTGGACGGTGAGGGGAATAAGCGAGCCTCCTCGGGGGAGGAAGCGGACGGGATCTTATCCCGAGAACTAGGCTAATGCTCCGAGTTGGAAAACTCCGGGCTCGTATCGCCCGGAATTTTCTTTCAATAACCGAATTATTATTCATCGCGGTCATTTATTACTCGACTCGAAGTCGGCTCGCACGGTGTCATTTTTCCGCATCATCCGCGTCTTTGTGTTATTTTTTTTTTCCGCAAACTATGGCGAGAGCCGGCGCGCACATCCCGGATTGGACAGCGTAGATAAATCTCCGCGAGTTTCTTTCGCAATTCGGGAGGAAAAAGAAATGTTCGAAAAAACGAAATTTCAACGCTGTTGTCGGTCGATCGTTGATCGATCGCGGGAAACGACGCGACGCTTATCCCTCGTCGGAATTTTCAATTGATTTCTGAAATGAACGAAAGCGCGGCGCCAGCGCCCTCCCCCCTCGCGACCGACTCCCGGACGGATTTCTTATTTTCCGCCCTCGCTCGTTTTCTCGAAATATGCTTTCTCCTCCCGGTATATATCTTACGCATCAATCTTAAACATTACGCGAATGCTCGGGTACGGAGAATCTAAGAGTTATCCCAAGGCCAGAAATATGAGCGCGGTAAGTTCCCATTCCGTGGAGATATTCTTCCCAAATTCCGAATGCCATTCTTGCAGTACTTCGAAGACGAAGTATAAGTGGATTCCTGAGATATCGCCTTGTAGTTTTACGGCGTTATACGTTATACAATTGCTCGCGTCGATATATACGCCGGTCGTTTGTTATATTATTAATTTACACATCCAGCATCCTCTTTAAAAGATTTGAAGGAGGGAGATTTGATAGGAAAATCTAATAGTTTTGATAATGTGTGATTTATCTACATTTATATATGGAATATCTGATTACGAGAGTTATCTCGTCGAAATAACACAGACTAAGTGTTACTTCGGTTCACGCAAATATTATCTTACATCTCAACTGATTGATTCACCTAACTTCCTCGCCGCTATTCTCAACCGTCACGCTATCGTAACGTAAAAGCAATGTAACTCTAACAATAGTCGTTGAGTCTAATAATAACTAGACCGTAGGCACCCACGTCGTGTACCTTTCCTCGCCAATATGTCATTGACGATAATGTCGCGGTTATTTTTACGCGCCCTTCGATTTAACGCGAGCTAAATGGTAAAACCTAGGAGGCACTTGTGATCACGGAGAAGAAAAATGTTAGGGTCGACTGATCATTTGTAACAATAGAGAGTAAAATTTTTTAGAAAGTTGTTATAAATAAGAGATAGATTAGACAAGTTATCTGATAATCTTTTTCTTCTGAAATTTTAACAAACATCAAATTACAATACAACAATGTAAAAGTTATATTTCAATATTTACAAATTTTGGCGCAAAATTTCGTCTTTAGATATTCTGATCTAGATTAAATTCTCCAAGATTCATCAGGTTTTACTTTTTGGAATGAACAATTATTTAATCCTTCTAGAAAATAGCAGCTATGTTATCCTTTGAAATATTTTTCTAAACAAAAAAGATTTAGCAGCTTTAGGAGTTCCATAATGCCAGGCGTCTACGTAATTTATTCTCGCAAAAACTTGAAGGACCTTTTGGAAATGTCTGATCGAGGGGGGGAAATGATACGATAAAGAAAGAAAGTAGCATGTAGTGATGCTCCACTGATTTTAATCCATCACGCTCGACATACCGGTGATTAACGAGCGTGTCACACTGGTTCTCTCGGGGTTTGCGACTTAACGCGCGCTGACACGTGTTTCGTTAGCGGCGATGGCTGCGGCATCGACTTCACCGAGAAGGTATCCTCGCGACGTCTATCGCCCGCTGATTAATCGCCTCAATTCACCCGTTTCGCGGATGATCAATGTACATTTCGTAGGCAATGGGCGAAAGTACAATCATCCTCTCGCGCATTGTCTGACATTCGAACAACGGTAATTAACGACTGTTCGCGGACAGTCGTGTTCCCCGTGATCGTTATTTCGCTCAAGGGAACTCTTTAGCATTGTCTCTTTCGGATTAGCCACAATATATTGTACATACAAGAGAGAAAAAGAGAGAAAAGAGAGAAAAACGAAAGAGAGAGAGAGAGAGAGAGAGAGAGAGAGATAATTTCGAAA